GGCCTTTGCTGCTGTCAGGAAGACTCCCAGATCTAACGTGAAATGGTGAAGATGCCAGCATTAACATCTCTTTTTAATTAAGAAATGCGCAGGTGTAGTTAACCCCACGTTAGTGACTGTATTTTTAACCCTCACAGTTTATTTATGGGGGGAAATAAAGGGTCTGTTATGCTTAAAGATGGAAATTTTACCGTGAATATGAGTTTAGTGCTAGAAGCAGTACCTGATGGCTGAATATTACATCTTGACTGTTCTGGTGGGAGGTGGCATTTAACACCTATTTTTGGCCTAACTTAGACCGAATTGGCAATTAGGATAAGAATTATAAAATGATTCATAAGTTAGAGTTTCTTAAAAGGCCTATAAAAATATTTGAGCTTTAGTACATCCCCCTCTAGTATTTCTTGCATACATTCTCTAGTTATTCTTTGTACTGAAAGCAGCCTTTGCTCTGTTTGCACAGCACCTAGCCTCATATATTTTGGTGTGTGCTTTGAGCTCCTGAGTGATGCTAAAGTTCTGCAGTTCCCAAGGTCTGTCAGGTTTATGATCGCCTGAGCGTTTTTTTGGGAATGTGAATGACCTCCAGCAGCTTGCAGGATTTAGCCCACACCACCCTGCAGAAGAAGGGTGGTTTTTTGGGGGCACACTTATTTATTCAGTGGATGAAACCATCTTGAACTGTTTTGTGTTGTAAGGCTGCCTGTAGACCAGGGTGACTGAAGTGCTGTAATTGGGTGGCTGACAGCTGCATGATAATTAGCAGTGCAAAGACTCTTGCCTCCTCTCTTTTTCTTCCAAACCTAAGGTAGTACTTCTGTTTAGGAGGCAACCTGAATTCTTTAGGATAAAGAGGTTCTCAGGTCAATCATCCTTAAATAATAAATGTGAGGTTTTACTGCAAATTCCATGTTTATCTAGTCTCAGACTGGATATGGAGCCGCAAATGCTGGCGCTGTAGGTAACTTGCTACCCACAGCACCGCGGTCGTGGGTTCTGCTGTGATACCCTTTCTGGGTTGGCATGGTGTTGGTGAATATGAAGTACCTGAAAGGCCTGTTAAGTGAGCTGTGGGAAAGGGTTGTGGTAACTTGTTACTGTTGTGGAATTTTATTTGAAGAAACTTGAAAATAAACCTACCTCCTGAGAGCAGTGTGACGGACAAAGGGCTGCATTGTAGAGCTTGTTGGTGGGTGTTTGTGCAGTGCTGCTCACTGTGGAGAATCACTCGAATATTTCCAGACTCTGTTCTCCAAGATCCACATGAATTTACTGGCAAGTAAATGATGCCAGCAAGAAATCCGTAATGTTCCATATGCATCCAAAGGCTGACTTAAGTTGGTTTTGCAGTGGGCCTTCGGTTCTAGCTGCTGTTGAGCCGAAGACTTCGAGTCCAGGACTCTGGGAGGGTGCTGCCTGCTGTGCCAGCTCACGCACCTCTATCGACTTGAGACGGTTTAGCTCCGCTGCTTGTCTAAGGCAGAAGGACAAATTGTCTCTGGGGTCTGAATTCTAAAGGCTTTTGTAGTCACTGCTGCTGCACCTGATTCTTGCCACTGTCAGGCTAGAAGCAGGCTGCAGACTTGCAAATGCTATTTGTTTTCTTTAACTCTTTGTAGACATGGCTCAAGAAGAGATGGAAACTGATCTCCAGCCGGTGGCTGGTGACTCTGTAGAGAGCCCCGGGACGCTTCCCGCAGCGCCCGCTGGTCATGCAGCGCTGTCGTCCGGTGCTCCAGCGCTCGGTGAAGGAGCAGGCAGTGTTACAGCTCTT